AAATAATAAGATAATAAGAGATGAATATGAATTAGAATTAATAAGAATAATTATATATTATGAATGGAAATAATGAAATATGAGAAATGATGAAAATGAATAAGAAATGAATTTTGAAGTAATTTTATAAAACATGTGATAAAAGAATTAATAAAAATGAAAATAATGAAATATATTTATTGTTACAAAATAAGAATGAACCATCTATAATAATAAAATATTTAAATAATAAATTTAATGAAATATATATTAATAAATTGAAATTAAATAATATAAATAGTCATTTAATAAAATAAATTGAAAATGAAATGAATGATATGAAATTAACAAGTAGAATAATGATGAATATTAATATAAAAAGAAATTAATATAAATAATTAAAATTAATGCATGAAAATAGTACATTTATATGAGTTAAGAAAGTATTAATTACATGAATTAATAAATTAAAATGATATAGTATTTGTAATGATAAAATATCATCAATTAAACATATATTATTAAATTATATTGTAAATAAGAATGTATAAATCGATAAACAAGAATTAATAATAGAATATATCTGAAGAATTGATAAATTAAAATATAAAATAAATATAATGAATGAAAATGAAATAGAGAATAAAATAAAATAGAATAAAATGAAATTAATATTCAATAAAAATGAAATAGGTAATTCAAAATAAGAATTGAAAATAATGAAGTGTTCATATTATTGAATCAAGAAATAGTTAATAAAAATGAATATTTCATAAAATACCAGATATTTATATAGAAGATAAAATAAAACAAGTATGAATAATAAATGATATGAAAATAATATGTAATAAGAAGATAATTCTGATATTTACTAACAAACTTGAAATGTATAGAATTCTCCAAGAAAAAATAAGACAATTTAATAAACTAAAATGAAAGTAATTCCAATGGTAATAATAATAAATTGATTAGTTAATAAAGAATCAATAAGATTGATAAAAGAACAAAGTATAATAATTCAATATGAAATAATGGTAAAAGATATAATAATTAAAAACATGAAAGAACTAATGAAATACTGTGGAGACATGGAAGTGAATATAGAGAAGTACCTCATAAACAAATTATTTAATAGAGAATGAATGACGTAATCTTATCTGAGCAAAGTGAAATAAATAAAACAAGAACTACTGATTCTTATTTTATTAATTTTTATTATTGTTATTTCATTTTCAATTTTAATACATATGTTTCTTTTAATTTGGATATATAATTCATTGATATGTTAATTAATTTCATTAATTCTAATTAATATGTATAATTGTAATTAAATTCATTTGATAATAAAATAAAATCGTCGTGATTTATTTAATATTTTAATATTTTATTTATATAATTAAATAAATAATCAAAAATATATTAATTG